GATCCAGGAGCTCCCTTGTCTTCTGGATTAGGATCAAAATTACAAGGATACGGAGTTGAATCGGTAGTCTGTCAACACAGAATTGGGCCGGCTGTTCAACAATGGTCATCAAATAAAAATATATAATACATAAATGTTGAGCCGTGATTGACTTAGGGCAGTGTTTCCCAAAGTGTGGTACGCGTACCCCCAGAAGTACGGGAACTGTTTAGCGGGGGTACGCTCTCTTATGCAAAATATCTTGCAACAAACGAAAATTTCAAAAATTTTATTTAAAAATAAAGCTAGTCATGAAAATGTACGATTACGTATTTTTCTATAGGCTATTTTTTGCAGAGTTAACAGTTAGTTGTGTCAACAGCCATTTGTGATTTTTAACTTTTGTGTAATATTTTCATAGTAAAAAATACATTTATTTTTTATTAATGGGACACAGCGTTACGAAAAATTTAGAAACGGTACACAAAAGTCATAAGTTTGGGAAACACTGACTTAGGGGATAGAGCGTTTGCCTTAAATGAGGTGACCCGGGTTCGAACCCCAGCGATGGTTGGTCGATACGAATTCCGCATCCTGCTTGCCCCGACCACAGTGCTGACAAAAAATATCCTCAGTGGTAGACGGATCATGGGTTAGAGTCCCCTTGCCGTCAGACTAACAGTGGAAGGTTTTCTTCCCCATGTAACGCAAATGCGGGTTAGTTCCAACAAAAAATTTAGTTTGCTTGCCAGCGTAGAAAATATTTTATTACTTTTTTTAAAATGCTTTTGAGCAAGTACTATAAATTCTGAAAGGCGACTAAAAAAAAAAAATTAAGGTCCTGCGCCCCCCTCCTCACCAAAAAAAAGTCATTAGTAATTTCGGTACCTACTAATAACTATATTCCTGACCTTATTTCTTCATATTACTATGAACTTTTTAATTTTTATTAGAATTAGAAAATGTAATTATTTGTATTCTAATGTAATTCATTATTAGACAGTTTTTAAGCAAAGTTGTAGTATTCTGATTTAGTTATCTTTATCTTTCAGTTCCGTCCTACTTCAGTTGGATTTTCAATATATTCAAGCCTTTCTTAAACGCCGTCACATTGAGCAAAATAAAAATCTACAAAACAGGTATATTTATACTTCTCTCAACATAGCTCTCGTTGTAACTGATAAATGTAACTATGAAGTTTTTAAAATTAAAGCTCTGAACCAGAAGAAACAAATATTAACTAAGAAATTATTCTTTAATATCTTCCTTAAGAAAAGAAAATAAAAAAACGAAAATCCAAGTTTGACCATTAAGCAGTGTTGTAAGCAATGCCTGAAAAAATACATTCATTTAATTTCTTGAGTTAGTTATTGAAAACTTTAACTTGAGACTTTTTTTAAAATCTTTTTTTTTATTTTTTATAATGGCGGGCACTTAGGGGTTGTCCCATTGGCTGCAGGAATGCCAGAACTGCTACTCTCTTCTCGTTACCCAGTGGGCACCGGTGGCGAAGCCACGGAGGTGGAGCAGCGTCGCCCACGTCACACAACCCGTTTATAGGGCGGGTCGCATTCACACACAAAGGAGAAAAAGACATAAAACAGAGAGAAAGAAACATCCATGCCCTGAGCAGGATTCGAACCCGCGACTCGGCAGTCAGGCACGCTAACCACTCGGCCGGTTTTTTAAAATCTTAAATTATCCGTAAACGTAATATCTGTATTGCACAGTGCATTTAAATTTTTTCAAAAAAGAAAACTTGAATCGAAAACTTTTTAAAATTAAAAATGCACAATGATTTTAATATAAATCTTAAATAGCATAACATGTGAAAAATGTGTTGTTTTTCAATATATTGAGTGTTATTATTTTGCAGATGAATGGCAAGATGAGTTGTGGAAAATCGTGGATAAGGATTTGGTCCCAGCTTTCTTGGGAGGAAACCGTACTGATCCAGACGGAAATCCTAAATGTACAACCTTGGTAAGTTTCTTTTTTTCTTCAATGAAAAAATAACCTATACTTTAACATCAGCTAAGTCTTATACTGTTATCTTTAATTCCTTGTTCAATAAGCATGTGCATTATTTATTTAATTACGAAATTTTTTTTGTTTTGAAATTTGTCAGACAAGACAAGAATCTTAATTTTTTAAACTGTTATCGGGGGAGGAGGTTAAACAGGGTGCCAGATTTTTCATCAAAAAATAAGCACATTTTAAGCACTCAAAAAATATTTTTAATCACTTCCCCCCAAAAAATCATAACTATAGGATCTGTGCAGTAACAAAAATTAAAAGTTCTTTATTTATAAACATAAAATCACTAAAATTCAAAATTTTTACATAATTATGAATTTTTTGTGATTTAGAACGATAATCGATACGGCAAAGA